ACAACTAATATTCATCTTATCTATTTGATAGAAAGCAGCAGATTATTGAAAGACACAATGGGGAAACATTAACATCAATTTCTAGCCAGGTCAAAAAAGGTGTACCTCAGGGATCAATCCTTGGACCACTGCTGTACATTATCTATACTAACGAGCTTGCAAATATAACTGATCAGTTTACGGTCCAGTTTGCGGATGACACTTCAGTAGTCTTTTCGGCAGAACGAATGGAGGAATTGAGTAACAAAATTCACACAACTTTGAGTTCCTTTCAGGGTTGGTTTGACTCAAATAACCTGGTTTTGAATGTCGAGAAGACACAGCTACTACGTTTCTCATATCAACGGGATTGGTCTCCCACTCAGTTTGTTTGCGGTGATGGTATACCTTTGAACACTACAAGATCGGCCAATTTCCTGGGGGTCAAGGTGGATTCACGGTTGGACTGGAGTGACCATATTGACTGCCTGGCTGGCCAAATATCAAGGCACTGCTATGCCCTGAGGGTGCTGGCACGTGAGGTAAATTATGAGGTTGCATTAACTGCTTACCATGCTTACATTCAATCAAGATTGAGGTATGGAGTTGTATTCTGGGGTAATAGTCCCGAAGTCTCTCGAGTTTTTATTGCACAAAAAAGATGTATAAGAGCAATATTTGCTATGTACCAGACAGATAGCTGTAAACCCATATTTAGGGCTCACAACATATTAACATTACCAAGTCAATATATCCTGGAAGCAGCATTGTTTGTTAAGCAAAATCCTGACCTTTTTCTTGAGCACATTAGGGGGCATTGCTATGATACAAGGGGAAGGACTGATCTTGTCAATGTGAGAAGCAATTTTACTTACATACAAAAAAACGTTCAATTTTCAATTATAAAAATTTTCAACAAGCTACCTTCAAATTGGCAAAGCTTGCAATTCGATAACCTTAAACATAAGTTGAAAAACCACTTACTTCAGAGGGCTTACTACTCGGTGGAGGAATTGTATGAGGACAATTTGAACAACGAAAATTGAAATGAGGTTCAAACCAATATATGTATTCTGATGCTCAGTATTGTATTTTATAGTGTATTTTCATGTTGTATTTTATTTTATATTGTATTTTTATATTCTTATATTTTATATTTTAATGTGTAGTATTGTATAAATGTTGTTTTTTTTAACTTATTTATGATTTTAAACTCAAAACAGTCAATTCAATTTATATTTGGCTTGTAATGTTAGATTAGGGTATTTTTAAATTGACACGTTCTATGTCCGAAAGGGCTTTTGTGATAATTTTCTTTATATTTACAATTATGGAACAAATAAATGCTATGCTATGCTATGCTATGCTATGCTATGCTATGCTATGCTATGCTATGCTATGCTATGCTATACCTAAATGGTGTTAAACGTTAAAATTTGAAAACATGCTTGTTCAAGAGATGCTCCAAAATCTTTCAAAAGGAAAATTCCTCGTCAGCCGTCAAACTTACGAAAATCATCCCTCGTAAGAAAAAATATTGAAAATTTCATATTTTCTTATTTTTTCTTCAGACACCTAGATGGTGTTTCACGTTCAAATTTGAAAACATGCCTGTTCGAGGGATGCTTTATCATCCCTCAAAAGAAAAATTCCTTGCCAGCCGTCAAACTTACGAAAATCATCTCTCGGAAGATAAAATATTGAAAATTTCATATTTTCTTATTTTTTCTTCAGACACCTAGATGGTGTTTCACGTTCAAATTTGAAAACATGCTTGTTCAAGAGATGCTTTATCGTCCCTCAAAAGGAAAATTCTTTGACAGCCGTCAAACTTACGAAAATCATCTCTCGGAAGATAAAATATTGAAAATTTCATATTTTCTTATTTTTTCTTCAGACAACTAGATGGCGTTTCACGTTCAAATTTGAAAACATGCTTGTTCAAGGGATGCTTTATCATCCCTCAGAAGGAAAATTCCTTGCCAGCCGTCAAACTTACGAAAATCATCTCTCGGAAAAAAAAATATTGAAAATTTCATATTTTCTTATTTTTTCTTCAGACACCTAGATGGTGTTTTACGTTCAAATTTGAAAACATGCTTGTTCAGGGGATGCTTTATCATCCCTCAAAACGAAAAATCCTTGCCAGCCGTCAAACTTACGAAAATCATCTCTCGGAAGAAAAAATATTGAAAATCTCATATTTTCTTATTTTTTCTTCAGACACCTAAATGATGTTTCACGTTAAATTTGAAAACATGCTTGTTCAAGGGATGCTTTATCATCCCTTAAAAGGAAAATTCCTTGCCAGCCGTCAAACTTACGAAAATCATCTCTCGGAAAAAAAAATATTGAAAATTTCATATTTTCTTATTTTTTCTTCAGACACCTAGATGGTGTTTCACGTTCAAATTTGAAAACATGCCTGTTCGAGGGATGCTTTATCATCCCTCAAAAGAAAAATTCCTTGCCAGCCGTCAAACTTACGAAAATCATCTCTCGGAAGATAAAATATTGAAAATTTCATATTTTCTTATTTTTTCTTCAGACACCTAGATGGTGTTTCACGTTCAAATTTGAAAACATGCTTGTTCAAGAGATGCTTTATCGTCCCTCAAAAGGAAAATTCTTTGACAGCCGTCAAACTTACGAAAATCATCTCTCGGAAGATAAAATATTGAAAATTTCATATTTTCTTATTTTTTCTTCAGACAACTAGATGGCGTTTCACGTTCAAATTTGAAAACATGCTTGTTCAAGGGATGCTTTATCATCCCTCAGAAGGAAAATTCCTTGCCAGCCGTCAAACTTACGAAAATCATCTCTCGGAAAAAAAAATATTGAAAATTTCATATTTTCTTATTTTTTCTTCAGACACCTAGATGGTGTTTTACGTTCAAATTTGAAAACATGCTTGTTCAGGGGATGCTTTATCATCCCTCAAAACGAAAAATCCTTGCCAGCCGTCAAACTTACGAAAATCATCTCTCGGAAGAAAAAATATTGAAAATCTCATATTTTCTTATTTTTTCTTCAGACACCTAAATGATGTTTCACGTTAAATTTGAAAACATGCTTGTTCAAGGGATGCTTTATCATCCCTTAAAAGGAAAATTCCTTGCCAGCCGTCAAACTTACGAAAATCATCTCTCGGAAAAAAAAATATTGAAAATTTCATATTTTCTTATTTTTTCTTCAGACACCTAGATGGTGTTTCACGTTCAAATTTGAAAACATGCTTGTTCAAGGGATGCTTTATCATCCCGCAAAAGGAAAATTCCTTGCCAGCCGTCAAACTTACGAAAATCATCTCTCGGAAGATAAAATATTGAAAATTTCATATTTTCTTATTTCTTCTTCAGACACCTAAATGGTGTTTAACGTTAAAATTTGAAAACATGCTTGTTCAAGAGATGCTCCAAAATCTTTCAAAAGGAAAATTCCTCGTCAGCCGTCAAACTTACGAAAATCATCCCTCGTAAGAAAAAATATTGAAAATTTCATATTTTCTTATTTTTTCTTCAGACACCTAGATGGTGTTTCACGTTCAAATTTGAAAACATGCCTGTTCGAGGGATGCTTTATCATCCCTCAAAAGAAAAATTCCTTGCCAGCCGTCAAACTTACGAAAATCATCTCTCGGAAGATAAAATATTGAAAATTTCATATTTTCTTATTTTTTCTTCAGACACCTAGATGGTGTTTCACGTTCAAATTTGAAAACATGCTTGTTCAAGAGATGCTTTATCGTCCCTCAAAAGGAAAATTCTTTGACAGCCGTCAAACTTACGAAAATCATCTCTCGGAAGATAAAATATTGAAAATTTCATATTTTCTTATTTTTTCTTCAGACAACTAGATGGCGTTTCACGTTCAAATTTGAAAACATGCTTGTTCAAGGGATGCTTTATCATCCCTCAGAAGGAAAATTCCTTGCCAGCCGTCAAACTTACGAAAATCATCTCTCGGAAAAAAAAATATTGAAAATTTCATATTTTCTTATTTTTTCTTCAGACACCTAGATGGTGTTTTACGTTCAAATTTGAAAACATGCTTGTTCAGGGGATGCTTTATCATCCCTCAAAACGAAAAATCCTTGCCAGCCGTCAAACTTACGAAAATCATCTCTCGGAAGAAAAAATATTGAAAATCTCATATTTTCTTATTTTTTCTTCAGACACCTAAATGATGTTTCACGTTAAATTTGAAAACATGCTTGTTCAAGGGATGCTTTATCATCCCTTAAAAGGAAAATTCCTTGCCAGCCGTCAAACTTACGAAAATCATCTCTCGGAAAAAAAAATATTGAAAATTTCATATTTTCTTATTTTTTCTTCAGACACCTAGAGGGTGTTTCACGTTCAAATTTGAAAAATTGCTTGTTCAAGGGATGCTTTACCATCCCTCAAAAGGAAAATTCTTTGCCAGCCGTCAAACTTACGAAAATCATCCCTCGTAAAAAAAATATGGTTCCAGCACGTACCAGTAGAGTTTAACTGATCCACTACATATTTATTTGGTACAATCCATAGACATGTACAATCGGGCCTGTTGCTATAACTGGCTATACATTTTTCACACAGTCATGAATCGTGATCTCCTTCTGTTTTATCATGTGTAAGTTTAGTAGTCAGAGATGTGACAAATTTCCAAGATCTTGTGCATTATTTATTGAGGTTTCATGACTTTTAGGGACATTAGATTTGTTCATCTAGGTACTGTCTTCACCAGAAGTCACTGGGGCAGCGTCATATTAGCTCTTCTACACTCTATAAAATCTATTTTCGGAAAAAATATACTGTATCATAATACTATTATATGATTTTTAGTGTGAAATTAATATTTGTCAAACTATGAATAAAATGAATAGTCCAGGAGATAATTATGAATTATTTTTGTCCTAGATACTTTTGGTGATGATGGTACATACATTTCTGTATTTAGATGGACAATTCAAGTTAATGGGTGTTTCAGTTCCCTAGTGTGCTAGTGCATCAATAGGTTAAGATAAAAACCAAAAACATAATAAAAACGACTTTTATTTAAACAAATATTGTGATCATATACAGTTTTTTTTATACTTAAGCTACAACCGGTCTTTTTGTCTTACAAAAGGCCCGGCATTCGATCCTCGGTCCAATCATTTTCATTTATCCTTTCTTAACAAGCACATTGAGTGAAAGTTATACCTAGACAACGATCTAAAGAGAATATTCACTCGAAAAGTTTGCTCAAATTATTTATTAGATTATATAGTTTCTATAACATTTTGCCACATTCGTCTTTATCCTTTATCAAAATCTGTTCCTTTAAAACAGACAGTATGTTTTAGTATATCAAACATGGCAAATTGTCAACAAACTATAAATACCCATTTCAAAAGTCTTTTCTCTGTAAGCTCATCTAAAACCACGTTTAAAGCTGTTTCGAATTGTTTAACAATAAACCCGAACAGCGATAAGGACGTGCAGATTAGGCGTTACGCTTTTTTAAAAAATAACTATCTAAACAATAAAAAAAAATCAAGAATGAGCCGATTGTATCACCTACATTAAAAAAAAAAACAACTCTTACGCTCCAACATAGTTACTCACAAAGTGTTTAATATAGTGTATACAGTCTATGTGAATTGCAATGTATGATTAGAGATATTTGAGTAATTCCGATAGTCAGGAGGAGGAATTACAATTACACTATATCCATCACTCATTTTTCGAAGTCGCCATTTGTGGCACACCATAAGCATTACTTTATTTCCCTATCAGAGTTACCCATAAACTATCTCTAATAACAGTTAAAAGAAAGAATCTTTAAATTCTAATTCTACATTAAACACTTTGTTCGCTAACTCTTATTTCTTTACAATCACAGGAATTACTATATCGATAATAGTTAATTATTATAGTAACAAATTGTTATGAGAATAATAAAAATCTGTACAAGTTTGACAAAAAATTACCTAATGAATATTTTATAATATATATTATGCTTATACTTGATAACCTAAACATAATTAGTCTACATTTCATGTTTTTCTGTTGTTTCATGGCACCATTTTATTTGTTATCTTTTGAAACATAATTTAGAGTTATTCATTGCCTCTAAGTAATCAAAAAGTTTCTGAAATCCCTCAAATTTGTGTTTATAAAAACTATGTATTTTTTCCCTTTACAAAAGATTTCAATAATGTGCCAGAAGTTCAGTTTCAGTAAGACTAAAAACCAAAAATCAGGTTTGGTTAAATAAATTATTTTATAGAATAACCACCAAATATTTACACTCATGTTCAGGAGAAAAAAAAATCGCGCTAGTAAAAGTAAGTGAATAGTATCAAAAATTGGACCTTCTTCGTTGACTAATTAGGTTCGAAATTAAACAAATGGTGAATCTTTTTTCACTAATTCCTTTATCAAAAATCCTCAAATTTCATTTGGTTTTTGTCCTATTTAGAAGGATGGATTTTGATTTTACGAAAATTTATCACATTCACTTTGTCAAAGCTTTCCGAATACTCAACAAAATTTAACTTAATATTAGAAAAGAAGAAAATTGCAACTAAGAGGCCCTTCACGTCGCGTGGTGATGCTGGTGTCTCATCATGTCTGCGGTCGAGGATAGATATTGCTCTTCTAGCTAGAAAAAAATAGAATAAAATTAAATATTGTTTTAATCAAGAATCAGTTAATGGTGAATTAAGAAACTCGAGTCGATAGTGAGACAAGTGAGCTGTGATTTTGTTTTGTGACTACTTAAGCGGGATTGTAATTAAACGAAGTTTTGTGATAATGCTAGTATCGTCGTGATTTTTGTGTTATTATCTTAAGAGTAGCATCAATTTAGATTGATATTTCAAGGAAAAAATCCAAAAAGAAGCACTTTTAGGTCAAACGTCTGTAACTAGCGAAGTACCTCCTATCAGAACTAAACTTGATGAGGTTTGGCAGGCTGTTGAATGTTGTCACTATGATGTTATAATGCTTTCGAAGTCCTTGTCGGAGTCCTCCCACCTTGGGGAACGCCAAATTTCTATTTTATGTGAATTTCTCTGGGATCTTACTGATTCGACCACTTATTTTCGTAGTAGCTATCTTTTTACATTGTCACAAATGTTTATGTTATTATAGGAACTCGTATCGTCATCCTTCATAATACACATCCTGATAAAATCAGGTCCTGAATCTTCTTCCCGATTACTAGTTTTAACTTGTAGTTTGTACATGAAAAGTGTCCTTTCCTATTTCCAATGGACAGATCCGCTGTACGGGCTTAAAGACATTTCTATCTCTGCCACGAATGAGCCTGATAATTCTTTCAAGAAGCCAATCTGTTCTCTCTTGATTTTTTACTAAAAATACTATATTGTCAAACGATGTGTTCTTCTTAGTCGAAAACAATTTTAACTGTCCCAGGTACTCGCTCCTAAATCTTGCCTTCAGATTCTCCTTTAGCTTGAAGGGGGTGTGACCCCAAAAAACCACTTAAATGAAAAAAAAAATTCTAAGATCTCTCGTGAAAATCGTACTTAGTCCTATATACAAAATAATCTCCGAGAAAATTCCTTGTGAAGATAAATTATGCAGGAACTTGTGATGTCACACACACACACAGTCAACGAAGAAGCCAAAGCCAAAAGTGTTCTCGCAAAATGGACATCATACATTGACATGACAATTATTCAAATGTTCCGACCTTATGAGCCGGATACAGTGTTGCCAATGACCCGATAATTATCGAATTCTACCATAATTTTGACTACGATTCAATAATCGATAATGACAAGCTAATCTACCATAATTTATTGAAACTACAATTTTAATATAGATTTTTCAAATTTCTAGTTAAAAATTAAAAATTTATTAAAAAATTGAACGTGGTTGTTGGTTTTGAGTGTTTTTACTGATTTCCAAAATATGGCTCTTCGAAATATTTGAAAATCGAATTCCCATGCATACCCCTTTGGAAAAATTCGAATTTTTAAATTTTTAGATTTTGCAATGTTTGACTCTACCAATCAAAAGAGGAGATCAAAATTAGCGAAAAAGCATTTTTGCAACTTTGTTTTTAGAGTTTTAAAGCCTTGTAAAAAAATATAAACGATTTTTGCAATTTTTGGGCTCAAAAAAGTTCAATAATCTTACAATCTTTCACAAAGTTGCTAATTACTCGGTTATTATTGTCACAAATATAATGTAAAATTATATATTCTGAATTAGAATTAAATTATCTTTAAGATAAAATAAGATTCAATTCTATATCTTAAATACTTCTGAAGATATTGAGGCTCAAAGTTGAAACTTTGTCTCAAATTTTGCAAAAGATTCCAGGCGGATTATCTTGAAAACAAAGCCCTTGGGCTTGGAGTCTTAAATAACCTTTTTTGTAGCCCTTATTAGGAGCTACAATTGGGCAAAAGATTCATGCCAATAACTTCACTGGTTTCCAAAATATGGCTTTGGAAAAGTTCGAATTTTTAAAATTTGTTTTTCGAATTTTTGGTTTCACCAATCGAAAGAAGAGGTTAAAACTAGTAGAAAAGCATTTTCGCAACTTTCCTTTTTGGGTTTTATAGCCTTGTTAAAAAATGAAAACGATTTTTGCATTTTTTGGGCTCAAAAAAATTTCAATAATCTGATATTCTTTCACAAAATTGCTGATTACTCGGTTATTATTGTAACAAATATAATGTAAAATTATATATTCTGAATCAGAATTAAATTATCTTCAAGATAAAATAAGATTCGATTCTATATCTTAAATACTTCTGAAGATATTGAGGCTCAAATTTGAAACTTTGCCTCAAATTTTGCAAAAGCTTCCAGGCGGATTATCTTGAAAACGAAACCCTTGGGCTCGGAGTCTTTAATAACCTTTTTTGAACCCCTTATTAAGAGCTACAATTGGGCAAAAGATTCATGCCAATAGCTTTACTGGTTTCCAAAATACAAGCATTTGAAATATTTGAAAATCCAATTTCCATGCATACTTCTTTGGAAAAGTTCGAATTTTTAAATTTTTGGATTTTGCAATTTTTGACTTTACTAATCAAAAGAGGAGGTGAAAATTAGTGGAAAAGCATTTACGCAACTTTGTTTTTATGGTTTTAAGGCTTGTAAAAAAATGAAAACGATATTTGCAATTTTTGGGCTCAAAAAATTTCAATAATCTGATATTCTTCCACAAAATTGCTAATTACTCAGTTATTATTATAACAAATATGATGTAAAATTATATATTCTGAATCAAAATTAAATAATCTTCAAGATAAAATAAGATTCAACTCAATATCTTAAATAATTTCGAAGATATTGAGGCTCAAAGTTAAAACTTTGTCTCAAGTTTTGCAAAAGCTTCAAAGCCGAAGTCTTGAATAACCTTTTTTGAAGTTCTTATTGAGAGCTACAATTGCCAGAGTCCCAGCTAGAACCCGAAAAATAAAAATAGAGATAAAAATTCAAAAAAGTCGACAGAAACTTTTTCTGATAATTTTTCTTGGAATCTGATAATTTTGTTCTCAAATCCTGATAATTTTAAATTTGACATCTGACAACACTGGCCGGATAACCATCTTGTGTTTGGAAGGAAGAACCAATGGTAAATAGAGATTCTCGTCATCAAAACGACCCGCAATCTTGGTAAGAATCTTAATCAAACCATACTCATCTAAAAATGGACACAAACTAGAGAGTTTCTCATCATGATTTAATAAAGGAAAAACTTTCTTCTTATATTTATTAATAACTGCCTTTTCAGCGGCATCCATTTCTTTACCAGTCAGGTTACCTGAATTATTCTGCTTTCTACAATTGGAGACAAATCCCATGACCCATCCAATCGGCCGAACATTCTTGATGAAACTTGAAATATATATGTGTGAAATTTTTTGTTCGCACCGAAAGCGACGAATTTACCTTCAGTCTTTTTTCTTCATTCACCAAATCTTCATCACATAGATATTTTGGATTAAACCATTTGCTAACTGGTTTCTGAAGCCACAAAGAAAAGGACCCTCTCATCCTCTTCCATCAGCAAGCTTCTTCCCAAACCTCTTGACGAAAGATCTGCTGGATTTTCATAACAACGCACATGGAACCAGTGATCCTTATCAGTCAGCCGTTGAATTTCCTTTACACGATTCCATACAAAGGGTTTCCACTGTTCTTCCCGCGTAATCCAAGACAAAACCGTCTAAGACAACGTGTGAAAGCCTGGCACCAACCGTCGCTGCTAGCAATCCTAGTCTTCGTCTGTCTTTCTTCAGTGGAGCAATACTACTCTCGAGTGAAAGAAAACATTTCCATCGGTTTCTGATCGTATAAAAATAGCTATAATGCTTCCCTACTGGCATCACAGAAAACATGCAGACTGCGACCCTCAGCGTTTTCAGTATTGAAAAACCATCTTCATCTGTACTAAGTATGGAAGCTCACCTATTCACCTGAGAAAATTAACTCCAACTTAATCTCCTACTTCAGTATCCCCGCCTTATCTTAACTCCCAAATATTCTGAAGCAATAATTTGGGATATAATGCAATTGGACTGGAAAAACCAATTGGATCGTACCATTTGTGAGCACTAGATAAACTCTTCCGTATCTTTTGAACACTGAGATGCTTCACCCAATCCGTAGAAACTTGAAGTGTGTCCAAAGGTGTTTTCTCACGTCTCAAATATTTTAAAACGTTTTTCAAAACGGTTAAAACAGTGTCACATGACGTCATAACTTCGCGACGCCATAAAATGGTTGGAAAACGTGGATTAGATTGTATTTCGGAACGGTTTGAACCAATTTTGAGGTGACGTCATTGGTTCATCACGAGAATATACTGTTTCAAACCTGTTTTGAACCAGTTTTAAAAAAGTGAACGCGAGAAAACAGCTCAGGTCTTTGTTCCATAGAAGCCCCAGAACTGGAGAGCGACAGTACGCATACGCAACGCCATTTGTCCTCTCTTGGATACTCCCACCCTCTAAGATCGAACTGGCCTTCTTTTAAAATGATTGTAGCTTCCTAGATGAACTGATCCAAATCGCCTTCATCCTCAACACTAGCTACTGTTGGGGTGAACAATTCCAACAGATTAAGTTTCTTGAATACACTGTGTTCTTGTTAGGTTAGATTGATATAGGTGATGTATTTTTTGTTTTAGAAAAAAGAACTATAGTTGAACCAAATCCAAGCGGCAGTAATGACATAACTGGTCATTTCCATTACAACCTATCAAATGTCCTCCGTGCATGCGCACTGGTTCTGGTAGGGCGTTTCAACCAATAGGGAGGCTGGATTACCAGCTGGTGTTTGTTTACAATTTAGGTTATTAATGGCCATTTCCACGGCTATAACTTAAGAGATATTTGATCTAAGTGGAGCTTTGAATGTGGTTTTTGTTTCTACAAGAATCATATTCAAAGCTCCACTTAACACGTTCGCTGGCGATGGCGCACATACGCGTCATATCGGCTTATCCACACCGGCCGGCGACGCCAATGTGCGTCTAGCCCAGTTGTGATTTGCCAAGGTCAATACTTTCTCGGCTTTCGGAGTGGATGCATCGTTTTGCGTCGGCTTATTGGAATCATCCTACCACGTGTTCCTGCACAAACGGATTTCGACTAATCTATAAATAAAGCAAGG